AGTAGCATCCAGGCATTGATTGTAAAGTTGCATGATGAAAACCATCATAATGTAACATTTATCTTGTGCTCTAACTCTGACCTGCTGTTCCAGATAAGCACTGAGCAAAGAAAACATGTCTGAGGCTACAAAAGGTGGAGAATGCTGGGAAATTATGCTTAGCTGGAATACAAATACTTATAGGACTTTTTCTTTAATGTTCAGATTTTATTTTACGCCAATCCTGTTCCAACTCTTATAGAAACAGTGTTCAGTGGTGCCCTTTGAACAAAATGAGCGCATTTCATTTTTAATGTATTTAATTGTTATATTGCAAATACATGCTGTGTTGTACTGGCTATTATCCTAGTCAGGGTAAGAGACAAATCAACAATAACCAAGATATGGTCCTGATTTATTATTATATGGCATTATCTGAAGTTTTATTGTAATGTTGGTACTGTGTCTAGAAGCCCATAAATCTCAGCTCGTGTTTCTCAGATTTTGAAAATGAATCTCCTGTGATTCTTTTGTGCTTTTGCAGAGGAGCAGTGCTTTTATAAGCAGTCTGAGACCCTTTTTCTATAACTGAATATTACAAAAAAATTAATGAAAAACGTTGACTGAGATGGTTAGATAACATCACATTTTGAATGAATGCATGATGACCCCAAAAGGCATCAGGTGATGATTTGTGCTGTGAGATTTAGTGAGGCATGAAAGCCGGTGCGAATAACAAAGCCTGTTTATCCCTCAGTCTCCTGTTTGTCACTTTGTCGGACAGAGCCCTGAAATGTGTCAGCCCTTTCCTTAATGCCTGTCGTGGTTATGTCAAACTAGAGCTTTGGTTATTGTGCCACCCGCGTCAATGTGCCTCCGTATGTGTGTGTTGTGTTGTGTTTGTTTGAGTGTGTCCCCACACAACCCTTGACTGATGTAGCTGTAGCCTAATTTTAGTTTATGAGGTGAGGGACCGCTGGGTGTTACCCTAGCTGCCATTTTAGACGAGGATGCTGGGAACGAAGTGCCTCGCGGGGGCTCCTATCTATCGTAATTATCTCAACGCCAGGGGTTGGACAGGGGGCTCGGACCTCGCTCGTCTCCTTGAGCTTCCCTCGGCTCCTCACGTGCACACGTCCAGGAGCTCAGGGGCCTGAAGCGGGTGCCGGCATGGCCTTACAGAACCTCAGCGTGCCGCGCTGCTATTGGACAGATTTCTATGCCACTGAGGAATATGTTATCTAATGCAGGGGTTCCCAACCTTTATTGTGCCAAGGACCGGCAGATACATTAAAAAGATCGCGGACCGGTTGTCAATTTTAACTGATTTTAATATTTACTCACCAGCAGGTAGCAACAGAGGCTAATTGTATGTAACAGCCTGAACAAATACTAGAACAATATGCATCGCGTGTGTGTGTGGCATTTGTTTTCAGGAGATATTATGATAGTGACGTTCGTTCCGGTGCATGTCCGACAGCATTTAGCACTACATCGAGATTAAGATTAAACTAATTTATTTTGGGAACACCCACATATAGGCTACCTATGGAGTTAGCCAGATGTGTGTAAATTACTGTTCATGGTCATTTGAAAACAAATGCCGGTGTCGGACAGACACAAACACTGAGCTGAGCAGAGCAGACTGGACATCTCCTTCATAAAACTAATAAAAGAGGGAGTAATCGGGCAGTTCGATGTGTGTAGAGGTGTGTGTGGTTAACACGTAGCAGCCTGCAGTCACTCGCTGTTCTGATGAAGGTAAACACAGCGAAGGCGGTGCGTAAAAAGGCACAGCGCGCTGGTGCTGCACTTCTCAGAAGCGGAGTTACACGTCCCGCTGCCTCCTGGTGCTGCCTGCAGCCATTTCATGAAGTGAAGGAGGTTTTCCTTCTATAAAACAGCTGCGGGCAGGCAGCAGATACCGTAAGAGTCCCGGACATGAATTCATAGATCAAGTCAGACTGGTTTACTCTCCTGTTTTGCCAATCCGGTGCTTAAACAAAGGCAAGGCAAGGCAAGGCAAGTTTATTTATATAGCACTTTTCAACACAAGGCAATTCAAAGTGCTTTACAAAAAAATGAAAGACATTAAGAAAATGGCATTTAAAATCATTCATTAAAAAGAAAAGCTAATAAAATAAACATATAGCTCTACACCCCTGGCCGACATGTCCTTAAAATGAAGTCCGAGTTTGAAATATATCTCAAATAATGTATGCACTGCCATTTCCCCACATAAACATAACAGTCTGCAATCAAATGGTTGTCCCTGTACGCTCCTCTTCCTACTTGGCGCACCGGTAACTTTCTCGTGCGCACAAGAGGCTGAGACCTTAGGCTGAGCCGCTGAATCCCTCTGAACATCATAAAAGCCATTTTCAACGGTTATCTGGTGAAAGATTAACTAGGCTACTGGATGAAATAATATCACTGGTATAGGTGCGAACATTAAACACTTTTTAAAAAAAATATTATGATAAAATATGTTTATATATTTATAATTCTGCAAATATTACGATAAACTCACAGCTATTTCGCGGCCCGGCAGTAACACCTCCGCGGCCCGGTACCGGTCCACGGACCGGGGGTTGGGAACCCCTGATCTAATGCATACTTTTGAGAGTAGCAGGATCTACATCAGACAACATTAGATGTGTGATTTGTCCTATCTTAAGTTATTTGAGTCCCCGATTAGAACTGTATAACACATCCCTCCTGATTTGGTTTATGATTGTTAAATATCTAGGCACATTGCAGCCTATTTACACCAGCCTTCTCTCTGTGGTCCGTGTTGTTGGCGCCCTGCCTGGCCTCAGTTCTTAATCTCCACAGGAAGTTTGCATCTGTGTTCTCATTCCCCTGACAGGATGTGCGTGTCTGTGTTATGGTCCCCTGGTAGGACACCACAGATGGCGAAGGGCTGGCTCTGACAAAGTTGGTTCCTCATTTGTTCATCACTAGGTGTATTGACCCGGCTCCTGCAGCGCCGTGACATTAAGCAGACTCTGCTTTTAGATCAGGACGACAAAATACAAAACATTATCTGTTTCATATTCGAGTGGGTCCAACGTCTGTGTCAAGAGGAATTGTGTCTTTTATTAAACGTTCACATGGGGATTAGCTCCTATTATCTGCTGTATAATTGTGCAGCACTCCTCATAATGACATCATCTGCATTTGTCATGCCGAGGGGGGGCCGTATCCCACCCAGCTGGTAGCTTTCTGTTGATGCTGTCTCTGATCTGTGTTCCCCACATCAAAAGCAGACATCCCCCGCTGAACTCACCCCCCCTGTCCCCCATCCTCTCCACCCAGACTCTGTCACACACAGCTGTTTCCCTCATGCATCTCTCTCTGATGCATCTCTCACCTTCTCCTCACCGCCTTTCTGTCTCTCACCTCTTATTACCTCTCAGCGGCTTTAAATCTTACTTCCAGTTCACTGCTTTTATTCTCTCTTGCCTCTCTCATCTGTGACTCTATCTCTTTTTCTTCTCCTCCTCTCTCTAGCACTTACTCTGTTTGTCAATATGTTTTTCTCTTTCTGAGTCACCCCTCCTCTGTACCCCTCAACATCCAGTTTTTCTCTTTATGACTAGCATGGGATTTTACAGCAAGGACTTCAATCTCTGGATACACATTAGAATAACACTTGCGGTGAGAAAACATTAAAATAAATGTCCCCTTCGGTAGAACTTTGAGGTAATTTTAGAGACTAAATTATAACCATGGCAATAGTAAAGTGATTTCCTGTATATTAGACAATGTACTGACTATATTAGTTATTATAACAAAGGTTTTAGCCTCGGAACACCTCCCTATCAAAATGAAATCTCACCTCAGAGTATTCCCATAATGACTAAATACCGGCGGAGCTTTAAGACTATACATAGTGTGTCACGTTCTCTCCTTCTCACTTTTGCCTGACACATTTGAGGCTGACGTAAGGAGAGCCTATATTTGGCTGGTGTCATCTACAATATTACAGCTTCCTGTCAGGAGCACCTCCCCTCTCTGAGCTGGATGTCTTTCGTGATGCGACACGTGCAGGTGTGTCACATGAATCATGCCCGACTTGCTATAAGTAAACTTAAATTGATGCTCCTTTAGTAAATATGAAGAATATATTACTAAATGTCACATTAACAACATTGTGTTTGCCTGTCAGGAGAAAAGCCAAGATAAACATTTCATAAACATGTTCATAATGTACGGCTCTGCTTGTTGACCATTTTTAGGGTTTGTATTACTTCAATTCTCGATTGCAACTCAGCCATTTCTGCCCTGTTGTTTAGAACATTGCACTGCAATACTGTGAGGCTATATAAGGAATGTGATGAGGTTAGATGAGAGTGGTGCTGTTACAACATCAACAAGTGATGGCAATTATGAGCCAAGATAAATCAGATTTTATGATTGCACTGATGGATTTGTTTCTACAAATGTCTAATTATGTGTGTGTTCACTGTTCTTTAGCTAGACTAATCGTATCACTTAATTGATCATGACCTTTAAAATGACATTACGTCTTATAATTACATTATGTATAATTATGAAACAACATTGCTCTTTTTCTGTTCATCATTTAACGGCTAAGCTCTTTTTTTTGTGTGGCCTACTATAGTGTTTTGTCAAAGCAAAACTGCATTTCAGTTGATAACACTTTGTTGCAAGTAAAGTTTGTCATTTTTACCTCAAATATTAGCTTATAACATTGCTGTGGATTTAGAGATCAGTTGTGTTGTATAGGTTTTTGTGCATTTCAATGTCGGCAAAGGTTAAAATCCCAAAGTTCCCTCCAGAGGGAGTTTCTCTCCTCCACAGGAGAAGATATTTGTGGGTGTAGGGCTGAGTACTGTAGTGACTTTTGCAGCCTCTTTTTGTGCCTAGAAGAATTGAAAAGAAGAGTGTTGTGTGGGTTTATCCTGCATGTGTTCTGGTCTTGAAAGCACCTATGGGCTTTGAATCTGATTGTTAAATGTGTTTTATTAAATATTCCTCCTCTCTTTGTGTCTCAGGAATCTGAGCAGCCATGACGAAGTCTTACATTTTCAACTGGCAGAAGCACCTGCCTGAGTTCATGCAGGAAGGTGCCTCCTTCGACAGGTTTGATGAGGTAAGCATGATGCAGTTTGCGGTCGCTACATTGGTGAAAAGAATGTAAAATAAACAGCTTCCTGAACTGAAGCATATTATCACCCGGTCTGATGTAGTGAAGAAGTTAAATGTCCTGTACGTCTCGTATGAGGCCTGCAATGGGAGGTATACGAGTTTGTCAATAACCTTGTTGTTGGGGGTTGTTTGCTTTGTCTTATTATTATCCTTCATCCTTGATGACCGTCCCCCGGTCAGTCATTAGTGTGCAAACACAAATACACACACATACACACACACGCACACACACACGCATTGTGGCAAAGGCATCTCTTTATTACCTGAGACATCATTGTGGTGGTCCAGGCTCTGGCTGCAGGCAGGACACATTGATCAGCCTCATTAAGAAGCTTCTGTGTGGAGACTGCTGGTCTGCAACATGTCCCCCGAGTCCCAACCATCTCTCTGGAAATATTATATTTGTTGGATCACAGTGACTGAATATGTTCTATATGTTTATTTTAACTTAATTGAAGTCTAATTGGAATTTAGAAATATAATTTTGACTCATGAGAAAATGTAACAACAGCTTTTGAGTACAGGAAGAAATATTGCTTGCTTCTGGGATTTCTGCAGGGATCTGAAGTGCTAGCTATGTTACTGTTGTGTAAAATGTGAGCTGTATACATATAAACTATGATACAATGACAAAGTGCTTTACCAAAGATTACAAATCTAAAAGACATAATGAACATCAACAGAATGAAAACTGAGCTCATCAAATATAAATCAATCAATCCAAGCTGATTTTTCAAACCTAATAATATAGAATTATTTCTCAAACTTGCTTCTTTAGCCAATACCATCCATCCATCCATCCATCCCTGTCAGATATTGATTACTTATATAATTATTAATAATGATAATAATCATTTATTCTTTCATTATGAATTTAATTTGATTAAGTAATACATGTAATCTTTTATTTCCCTGTTATTGTCAATCATTGTCTTTCATAATCGGAATGTGCCTCGTCAACGCATATCAAATGTCATGCCAATAAAGGCTATTGAATTTAATTGAATTATAAAAAGGTTTAGACAAATCTTTACCAATAACATTAGTCTCAGCAATTACCCATCATGCTCTTTGTGTCTGTGTGTATACGACACTGTGTATATCTTCCTGTCTTATTACCCACGTTTCCTCTGACTAACTTAATCAGGACACTAAGCTAGGACATTTGCCGAGCAAAGGCAAATTGTGTCACACACACACACGCGCGCGCAGCCTCTGCACACAGCAGGAAATCCCCCCAGTCCTCTCCGTGTATCTGGCCGTCAGTCAGGGGAAGAGGATCCCTCTTATGCTGAGGAAAAAACTGTAACGAACGTAGGGTAAAGAGAATAATATCCACAGCCGTGTCAAAGTGAGTCATGAAACGTTGGGTTACGTATTGTAACCCTTGTTATATTAGCACAGGCGGAGCCCTCTACTGGACTATAGGGGTACTACCTTACCCTGCGAGCATTCTCCCACTGAGACTTCTATAGACGTAGCCGGCCTTGGGCGGGCCTACCTGAATGCGCGCGCATCACACAGTATAAAAGGAGGCCTCGCCTCCTGACTATCATCCTACACCTCTCTTCAGCGAGCGGAATAGGACAGACAGTGCCCTGAGTAGAGGGCTCCGCCTGTGCTAATATAACAAGGGTTACAATACGTAACCCAAAGTTATATCTCTCACAGGCTCCGCCTTCTACTGGACTCTATGGGTACAGTGGGTGGAGCCCCGATGTATACGCGCACTGTCGTCCAACAACAACATTCCACCCTACTGCCCCTGACCGGCTTTTCTGGTCAGCAGCTGCTGCCCCACATTCTCCTTTAACCCGGTTGTGACCGAGGAGAAATCTGGGCTGTGGCTGACAGAGCACACCCTGCTGCGCTTACCTCGCAGAAAGTGTGCTCAAAAAACAGTGCCGGGGGACCCCCCCCCCACCCATAGACGGATGGGGAGAGCCCCCTCGTCCCTGAATGGGCTTACTACACACCTGCCTCCCTGAATCCCTAAGGATTGCAGGGAGAGCGCCAGTGCCCATGCCCCACACTCAGACACCGACCCTGTGCAGAGTGTGTGTGGACTAAAGTGTGGAGGGCTACCCCCCCCAGGAGGAGAGGAGCCCTCCAGCCCTGTAAGGGCCCAGCGCACCCCTCGCCCATCCCGGGACTCCCAGAGGGCCCGGGAAAGGCAACGGCGCATCACGTCCGGGGAGGGGTTCAGATGCCAACTGACCCACAACCCCCCTCCCCCACAAATCCTGTGTTGCCACAGCAAGCACAGATGAGGAGAAAGAGCCAAACATGTCCAAGAGATAAAACCTTATGAAGGGGCCTGGCGTCGACCAAGACACCGCTGTGCATATATCCTCCACGCTAGGGCTGCACGGTATTGAAAAAAACTGACATCGCGATTTCCCCAACCCCCCTGCGGTATATATTGCGTTTTTTTTAACCTGTTAAACCCCAAAGTCCCGGCGGGTACTTTACTTTTTTTTCACGACAGTGTCTCAGGGGATCGTAATATTTAAGAACCTATTAATGTGTTATACCAGATTAACGGAAATAATCTCAGCTAATTGACGATACAAACCATTTTTACCAAAACAAAACACAAGTCTCATAAGAAGCATCTAAATGACCCCTGAGCCAAAAATGCTAACGCACTTTGGCACAGAACTCAAGATAAAAGTACCCTTATTATTACTTATCGTAGCTGTATTTACAAGATATCCGATTAAAGCTGAGGTTCCACAGATTATTTAGGTATATAGTATCATCACTGAGTGATCTGAACTCGGACAGGGGAAACAAACACAGACATCACAACACGTACCTTTACGTAGCTTCTAGGGGAGATGTCTCACCGTAGCTGTCAATCTGATCAAAAGACGTGTTCAATGGCATTAAACCGAGAAAGAAAAAACGCGGCTGAATCGGTTAATCCATAGGTTTTTAACGTCTCTGTATAAAAAAATGATTTAATTTATAATCCATAATTCCATTTTCTCCGGTATTGTCCTCCTGTGCCTCGCTCATTTTTTACCAGTGTTTTGATGGTCTGCAAACTAGCGGGGCGGGGCCTGCTGTGATCTGATCAAGAATGATTGTGATTGGTGGTTTGCTGTGCATGCAGGGGACATTCTACACACACCAACACGTGAACAAATAAGGAGTGAGAGTGACGCGTAGCCAAAACCGAAAGCTGCATACACGATTTTTACATAAAAATGGAATTATGGATTATAAACAATTGCTTCAAATCCACAGATACATTATCAACCTATGGATCAACCGATTCAGCCGCGTTTTTTCTTTCTCGTTTTAATGCCATTGAACACGTCTTTTGATCAGATTGACAGCTACGGTGAGACGATCTCCCGTAAAAGCTCCGTAAAAGGTACATGTTGTGATGTCTGTGTTTGCTTCCCCTGTTGCGAGATCGGATCGCTTAGATACTATACTTAAATAATCTGTGGAGTCTCAGCTTTAATCGGATATATTGTATGTGCAGTTTCGATAAGTAATAAGGGTATCTTTATTTTGAATTCTGTGCTAAAGTGCGTTAGCATTTTAAAAAAAAAAGAAGAATAAAACCGCACGTCCCTGCGGTGTGAATACCGCGCATGCGCATACCGCGGTTATCGCCATGACACGGTATATCGTTCAGCCCTACTCCACGCCTTGAAAAAGGCTGTCGACACAGCCACAGGCAGGCTCTCCCTGCCTGTCCATAGGCATGTGCAATGCGCTCGCAAAGCCAGCCTGCCAGGCGTTTCTTGGACAGAACTTTCCCGATCACCCCGCCCCCGAAGCATACGAACAGCTGTTCGGTGCGTCTAAGGGCAGCAGTGCGCTCCACATAACATCAAGGGCGCCGGAAGCGGGGGGGGCATTGGCCCCCCCACTTTACGGCCCTGCCCCACATTTTCGCAGCAGCGGATGCCGCGGAACCCTGTACACATCCCGTTTCAATAATTCCCCTCTACTCTAAAGTCGCATCTAAAAAGAACGCCATCTGATCTAGCTGTGTATATTTTTGTTATTGTTGATTGTTATATTCAATCTCATTAGCTACAGGCATTTTTGAAGCTTGTAAAGGGAAGAACACAGCTCGCCTCTCACTCGCCACTCTGCTCTTCTACAGCGCCGCTTCCCCTCCCTCCGCTGACATTATGAATGTAAGGCATAGTAATCATAGATAACACCGCAGGGTCCGTTACAGTTTGTTTTCATCTGATTTCAAATAAACAAAGTCTTGGCTTTCAGAATATTAAACTTGTTTCGGCAAATTCAGATGATAAATACAGTTTTGAAGCTTTTAACGGCATAATTACAAGCGGAGAACGGAGTAATTTGACGTCACAGCAAGCATAACAACAGCCGGTGTTTCTCCTGAAAGTTTTCCCCGGGAAACAAACGCAAAAATACACAAACACACACACGTGGAATACACGCACACGAGCTCCCCCCAGACCAGTAATCCAAACGAAAATATCTTCCCTCCGTACTACTTTGATCATTTGCTCCGCTAATAATCAATCAGATCGATCCAGAGAAGAGGAAACTTTAAGGCCTTTTTCTCAAAATGATGACTCGGTGACAGTCATTATATAATGTGACATATTTTGCTTAATATAGTACAAAAACAATCCTGATATCATTAGAAAGCTAGGAATCTCCTCTTTCCAACAGTGTATACAACTCAAAATGTGTCTTCGGATCAATATGACTGATTTCGATGGAGCAGGTCACTTTGCATTAGGTAAAATACAGCAGGCAGACATAACAGGAAGAATATGTACATTTTAATCCAATCAAATAGGACATTGTCACACCATTAAAATGTATCCATGTACATTACAACCAATAACAAAGCTTAGATGTGTTTATTTGTTACGTTGTTTACGTTATGTGTTACGTTGTTCAGTGTGTGTCAGCCGTTAACCTAGATAGATAAAC